TATAAATCTGATATCCATGGCCATTTGAATACCTCAGTCACCCTACATTGACTCTCCTGCATCTCTACAATCAGAAAAATACATCAGGGCTTCTCAGCAGGGAAAAGTACGCACTTTTTCTCTCACTTTCTTTCTCTCTTTCTCTTTCTCTCCTTGGTTTCTAAAAACATATGTAGTTGGTGGAACAAGGAAGGGTAGGAGAAGGCTCCTGGGGCCTTGTTAAAGGGACAGCTTTGTCCCTTACTGGCTGGGTGGCCTAGAGAAAGTTGTTTAACTTCTCAGTTTCTTTATCTGAAAAACTGAAATGACAATAATCACTCTATAGGATATATTCCAATGATTGAAAATAAAAATGCCCACATTCTAGTTGATTTGTAGTCACTTGGGCTGCCATCTTTAACAGTGAACAGTCATCTCTATCCTTTGCAGACTCTACCTCTTGAAGACACGGCATTTCTGGAACCATCCTGAACACATTCAATGGAGCACCAGGCTGGTGCTGGTGGGGAGCAGAGACCCCAAAATGTGAGGAATGATTGAAGGCCATGGGGCCCAAAGTCCAAAGAGGGACAGAAAGGTGAGGAGAACAAAAAAGCTGCCTTTAGTATCTTAAGTGCCATAAAAGAGAGCCACCAAATGCCCTTCTTTGATCAGGAGGGTCAGGAATGTGTCTGACCTCTTACTGAGGCCAGAGGCTTTTGCCAACGTTACATTTTGGAGGGAAAGGCAAGGATGAGTCAGCAAAGCATGCTGAAGACAGCCTGGGGAGGCAAAGGAGTGGATAGAGACAGGAGGCACTGGGGAAGGGGAGGAGAGTACAGCAGGGTCAGGGTGGGCAAATAGGATGGCCAGTATCCATGCTGGAGATGGGAAGGGCTGCACAGGGTGGGGAGGGCGAGAAAGGCTTTGGCCCCCAAAGCTGAAAACCAGACTGACTGAGGGGAAGTTACAAAGAAGCAGATTTGGGTTTCCTTCAGGGAATAATTTTTTTAGTAATTAATATTTTTCTGATAATCAGGTTTATTTTGGGGTTACAAGTGACAGAGATGCAAATCAAGGAAGCTTAAGAGAAAAAGATCTGTATTGGTTTGTATACGTGGGTAGTTCAAGATAGAGCTTCATAGACCCTAGGAACTTGAGGGATGTCACTGAGTATCTCATGGATGGAGGTCAGGGACCTCCATCAGAAAGATAGCCCCAGAGAAGGTTTTGTTTTTTGGGTTTTTTTTTGAGATAGGGTCTTACTCCATTACCTAGGCTAAGCACAATGGATCATCATAGCTCACTGCAACCTCAATGTCCTCAAATTCTTTGGCTCAAGTGATCATCCTGCTCAGCCTCCCAAGTAGCTGTGGCTATAGGCACCCATCACTATCCCTGGTTCACTTTTCTATTTTAATTAGAAATGGAGTCTTGCTCTTGCCCACGCTGGTCTCCAACTCCTGAACTCAAGAGATCCTCTTGCCTCAGCCTCCTGAGTAGCTGGGACTACAGGTGCCCACCTTGCCCAGCTAATTTTTCTATTTTTTGTAGAGATGGGTCTTGCTCTTGCTCAAGCTGGTCTCAAACTCCTGACCTCAAGCAATCCTCCCTCTTGGGCCTCCTGGAATGATAGGATTACAGATGTGAGCTACCATGCCCAGTTCAAAGAAGAACTCTTTTTTTTTGAGACTGAGTCATCCTCAGTAGAGTACTATGGCATCAAAGCTCACAGCAACTCAAACTTTTGGGCTCAAGTGATTGTCTTGCCTCAGTCTCTCAAGTAGCTGGCACTGTATGTGCCCGCCACAATGCCTGGTTATTTTTAGAGACTAGGTCTCTCTCTGGCTTAGGCTGGTCTCAAACTCATGAACTCAGGTGATTCACCCTCTTCAGTTTCCCAGAGTACTAGGATTACAGGCATGAGCCATTGTGCCCAGCCCAAAGAAGAACTCTTGATACCAGGTTGGGGCATACATGCCCAGCCCTGAACCAATCACTGTGTCCAGAAATAGGCTCCATGATTGTCAGGCCTGGGTCACATGCTGAACTGTATCAGTGAGGATCCAATCAGGAAATAGAGACCACACTGAGTATAATATTTAACAGAAGGGATTTACTGGTTATACAGAAGTGATAGAAGAGCTTTAGAGCATATCTGAGAATAGGGAAGCAATTCAGATATCACCAACTACTAGAAGCCACTGCCAACCTAAGATGAAGGGATAAAGGCAGAAAGTCATATTGCTAGTGTCACCCAGTGGAGTTGGAACCAGGATGGATTCAGCTGCTTAGCAGAAGTGAAAGCCGAGCTGTGGAAGAAACACAGTTGCAGACAGAGAGAGAAAGGGAGAGAGAGAGAAGGAGGAGAGAGAGAAATACTATAGCTTCTTCCTTTTACCCTCTAATCTCCTGTTAATGCCTCCCATAGATCAGACTCCCTCTCCCCAAAACCCAGCTAACAGGGAGCCTAGGACTTAAAAGGCTAGGTCATGCCCCTACACCCTGCAATATATAGAGGGGCAGAGGAAAGGCAAATAACAGATATAAGGTCAAACAGGCCAGGGAGCAGCATACCACCCTGCAGCCTACGAGGCTAACTCCTGGGGCTGGCTGGCTGTCTTGTCAGAACCACATGGAATGAAGAAGCAGCAATTCCCCCGTTGGTCCCGCTATTATAAGGAGGAAATGATCCTGGAGAGTATTTGCCAACTGTTCAAATGTAAAACAATTTGCTTCATGAGGTGGTGAGATGTCCATCACTGGAGGTGTTCAAACACACACTGGATACCCATCTGTCAGGATTCCCATTTTGAGTACGTGAAGGGGGGACCCAGATCTCTCTAGCCCCCTTCTGATGCTTACCTTGTGTATTTTCTACAGTGTTGTTATTTCTTAGACATGCTGTTCCTCCCACAAGTCTAGGCTATTCATGTATGTGATTAACTCAGAACAACAAACTCGTAAACTACAAGCATATTTATTTGGAACACACTGAGGAATCTGGCACCATCAAGTGGGCCACTGATTGTATTTCCAGCTTGCATCTGTCCTTCTTGTTACATCTTTGCTCCTGTGCCAGAAGTATCATTGCCAAAAATGGTCAGAGACCTAAAAGTTTACTTTTACCTTTTGACAAAATCAGTTAACTTGATTATTAAAGTTTTGTCTTCCCTCTCCAAAACTCCCAAAAGAAAAGAAATCACAAGAACAGATTTTGGCATAGAAATAAAATGAGACAAAGAATGCAATCATAATACTAGTGAATGGTTTTCAGACTGACATCTGTACATTAAGAATATGTAAAAATACCAATTTCATGCTCTGACAACTTATTCTGCATCAGGGGTGGGGTAATGCCTTGGGAATGCCAAATGTCAAAGCATTACATAATGTCAGCTATTCATATGCTTCTTTGATGAGATATCACTGGGAATGGGAATTCCTTAAGGGAGCGATCTCTTAAAAAGAGGGAGAGCAGAGGGAAGGCAAAGAAAGGAAAGAAAGAAAGAAAAGAAGAGACAAAGGAAGAGAGAAGCTATCAAATCAGAATAAAAGAGTAACCGTGTAAAGAAAAGTGAATGTATATAATTTTAAACAATACATACAGTACCAAATCTAAACCAACACATGTAGGGTTACTTATCTCTGTTTTGATTTCCCACAGTTAGAACAGCTGTGTTTAATTTATTTTCTTTCAAAGTAGTGTTTCTACTACTTTCCCTTTCTCGGAGCATATCTATCCTGGCCATGGTGACCCCATCTAGTGTGTGCCGGTAAATGTTTAATAACTAGCACACAGGGTGGGGGTGCGGAGAATGTCTGATCTAAAGCAGCTGCCGATTTCCATAGCGTAAATAGTCCCACAATGATTGATTTCAGGTTACCAATGTAATGTTGTTGAATGCTTTGTTGGGAAGAGATGCACAATGGCATCTCTAGATAATAGTCTAACAATTAGGAAGTAATGAATTTCAGATATTTATTACCATTTGAAAAATATAATTTACCTAATTGTAATTTTATATAACTTATTTTAAGTAATGACTGTTATTAACAACCAGCTTGCAAAATTTCTGAAAATTTGACAACTGATTTTCTTTTCTTTCTTTTTTTTATAGTAGCCTTTTATTTTTAATACCATTATGCCATGAATTCATGGGGAATAGGTTCCAGCACTTTATGGTCCTGCTCACCTGGTTCTCTTGGTTGTCCTGCGTGCTATGCCATATGCCTATTATGCCATGAATTCATAGGGGATGGGTTCTAGGAGCTCAGGCTCCTTTCCATTGGTTCTCACACACAAAGTGTGCTTCTCTGGGTGGGGCAGGCTGGTGCTTCAGTTGAACACAGGTACCTTTCTCTTTGGCTTCCTTCTTTTTCTGATCATTTTCCTTCACACGTTTCAGGAAGCTATCTTAGCTCTTAGATGCTCAGCACGAACATTAATCCTCTTGGCAAGAATCTTGCCCTTAGTTTGTTTACAATAATGCCAAGGGCATACTGGGTAACACTGTAGACTCTTTCAGTTTTGCCATGGTAACATTTATGTGGCATGCCTTTTTGAACAGTACCCATTCCCTTGATGTCTGCAATATCGCCTTTCTTGTAGATTTGCATATATGTGACCAAAGGAACAACTCCATGTTTTCTAAAAGGCCTAGAGAACATATATCGGTGCCTCTCCTCTTTCCCTTTGTGTTTGTCATTTTGGTGAACTGCTGGAATGGCCTCTCCCTGACAACTGATTTTCATGAGCCAGTATGAGCCAGCTGAAGCATATTGTTGCCTCCATCCCACCATGACTGTGTTACCCCTCACCTGGTCTAAAGCAATAGTCTCCTAACTGGCCTCTCATCTCTACTCTCACACCCCCTACGCTAGCCACAAGAGACATTGTTTAAAAAACACATTTGGCCATGTTACCCTTCTTAGAACCTTCCATGGGTCTTGATTGTCCTGCAGATAAAACCAAACTCACTACCTAGCATAGTGACTTGGCCCACACCTTCCCCTACAGCTTTCCAGACTATTGTTTCATGATGTATTTCCTTTCTCTCCTCCCCTAGAGAAAACTCCACAACATTCCTGGAATCAAGATTAGATGAGACCAGGTATGGTGGCTCACACTTGTAATTCTGGCACTTTTGGAGAACAAGGAAGGAGGATTGCTTGAGGCCAGGAGTTTGAGACCAGCTTGAACAACATAACAAGACCCTTTCTCTACCAAAAACAAAATTAGATGAGAGAATTTATTTTATTTATTTTTTGAGTCAGAGTGTCACTCAGTCACCCTGGAGTTGAGTGCCCTGGCATCATAGCTCACAGCAACCTCCAACT